TTTTCTCAGGCTCCATCCACCTTCCTTTTAAAAAAATATTTTATTATTTTTATTTTATTTTATGTATACGAGTGTATTGCTTGCATATATATAAGTGCACCCGTGTCATGTGATGTCCACATAAGTCAGAAGAGATCGTTGGATCCCTTAGAACTGATGTTGTTAGCCACCATGTGGGTACTGGGAACCGAACCCAGGTCTTCTACAAAAGCAGCCAGTGCTCTAACCACTGACACATCTCTCCAGCCTCCAACCTTGCTTTTTGACAGGGTCATCTTACTGGGCTGGAACTCACTAAGTAAACTAGACTGGCTGGCCAGCGAGCCCCAAGCATCTGCATGTGTCCACCTCCCCATAAGCATATTCCACCACTCCAGGGATAGAGCTCCTAATGCCTGAGCAGAGAGCATTTTAACCAGCTGAGCTATTTCCCCAGGTCCCAGCCCACACATTTTTTAAGAACAAAGGTTATGTGTTCCTCAGGGTCATCCTCAAGTCTGACACTCCTGAATATGGTTTATAATGATCGATGCCATCTGAGGAATGAGCTAAGCTGGGCACTGATCAAGGGGTCAGAGGTACAGAAAGGAAAATGACAGCTAATTAAAACAGATGATATTCTCTGAGAACTTCCGGTCCCCTTCTGCACTTCACAGCAGAGGGGTGAATAAAACAACCTGCTATAAAGAAGCAAGCAACAAAGTGGAAGAACTCAGACTCTATCGAACGAGGCCAGCTGAAGAGGCTCAAAAGGAAAGTGGGGGACAAGATGCAACAAAAGCCCAGCTCCTTTAGTCACAGGTTACCACGAACTGAGACGATAAGACCAGGAGCTCCCAGACAGGAGGGGAAGAAAGGAAAGGAAAAGCTGTCACCTCAGTATTTATTACCTAAATATTTAATAAGGTGACTGAGATGTGTGCATACAAAGCCCTGGACTGGGGTCCAATGCAGTCTCTCTCGTCTGCTTCTTTGGAAATGACTGGTCCTGAAGTAGTCCCTACCCCTGGGGGACCCAACTTCCTTTTTTCTGGGACGGGCTACCGTCAGGTGCAGAGGACCAGGAGGCAGCCAGGCCTGGAGCAGGCAGACAAAGGACACCCTGAAGGAGGTAGAAATGCCCAACACCCCCCATCGGCAGAGGGGGAAGCAGGGGAAGTGGGCTGGGGGGAAGGCTGAGCAGGTGGAGGAGCAGCAAGGTTGACCTGAGCACTTGGCATGGCTCTCAAGAGATGAGACCTGGATTAGAAGGGAAATCTGCCCCCAGCCGTGTGCAGGGGACTGGTTCACTGTAGCGAACGCCTCCTGACAGCTCTTATCGAGGGGCTGCTGCTGTCGCCCGCCTGAGGCCCCTCTGCACCCACTGCCACCCCCAGGCTGCTGCAGTGGACAGCTATCTGGGGGAAGCAGAAGCAACCAGAGTATATTTAGTACCGTTTAAACAGCAAGTTCCCAGAGCCCAGCATGAAGAGGCTGAGGGGGATTACTCAACCCAGGGAGGCACTGGCTGGCTCCCCCAAACTCTAGGAAATGGCCAATATAGACACCTGGCGAGGCATCCAAGCTCTCTACCTTTGAGGAAAGTAGACACAAGCCCAAATGTGACTCAGTGGTAGTTACTAAAGGCACCTTACACCTCTTGCCTGCCCATCTCATGGTGGGGTCAGAGCAGGATCCTGGGCTGATTTCACTTAAACAAACGACACTTTATCCTGATCTTTTGGAGCCTGTAGATTAGCCTTGCTCTCCCCAAATTCCCAGGCCCAACCTATGAGTTTCTGCAAGGAAAGTTTCTCCAACTGCCAAGACGCTCCACTGCCGGGTTGTTAAAACAAAGACATTAAATTTCTGCGCAGACTGTCATCTTTAAATAAAAACTTAAGCCCAGCAATAAATCTGAAACTGTTCCCAAGGGTTTAATGGGATAATATAAAACGGGTTGGGGTGGCCTGCCTGGCAGGGTAAGAATTCCCCTGACAGGTCGCCCAGTGGTCTGACTGCATGGTGGGGGACCAGGGGTGTGACTTCAGCTTCTATTCTGAAGTGGGAATCATGCCAGCTATTGGCAGTGCAAACTGCGGGTAGGGCAGGAAGAGGAGACAGTATCCTGAGGGTCCTCATATTTCAGTGCCATAAAAATCACTAGGGACCGACTCTCCCTGCCCCCCATTGGGTCCCCAAGGCTGAACTGCGGTCTGACTTTTATCAAGCCCTCTCTCCCTATCTGATAGGTAGAACGCACTTTGGGAGACCTCAGAAATTAGATGAAGGGCCTGTAAGGGTAGAGGCACACTTAAGGACTTCATCTTTGATGAGATTTAGCTTTTTCAGCCTCACATAAAATGCTTGGAAGTGGGAATGGGGTGGGGGGTGGGTAGCAGGCCTGTGGCCAGCTCCAAATCCAGACTCCTGTAAGGTGTACCCATGACATGATTGGACCTCTTTAGAAGGAATAGTTCAGCTGGTGGTAGAGCTCTGTAATAGAGCACTTACCTAGCATGTGCACGGCCCTGGGTACATGCCTAGCACCAAAGGAAAAAAAAATAATCAAAATTATCCCCCTCCCATCATAATAGTGTCCTGCATCACTTGGCTGGCTGCCCACCTCTGCTTGTGGCCCCTCCCTCCCCTTTTCTGTCAACTAGCTCCTTCTTTTCCCGCCGATGGGTAGTGGTGACAGAACTGGCAGGGGCATATGTCATTTCCCATGACTAGACCCATGAGTTTCAAGGAAATCAGGCTCTTTCCATCCAGATCTCCAATACCAATCTCTGATGTTTAACTGTTGGTCTTTCTATCAGCAACACGGGCACATTTCACCAAGGTTGCCCTGGAACAGGTACATGCTATTAATGTTCCTGAAATTATCTTCCACCTTTTGGGGGTACAACCTGGCCACACGCAAAAGCACCCTGAATCTGTTTCTCCCATGATTCAGTGATTCTATCTGTGAGTCTTCAGGCCAAGTATGATCCAAAGTAAAGAGCAACCCAAGCCAGTGTAGTCACAGCTGCTCCATATAGTAAGAGACAAGAATGAAAACAGTAGCTCACACATCTTTGTCACATTTCCAGCATTGTACTCAGGGCTCCTCATGTTTAACTGATGACCTTTCTATCAGTAATGTGAACACAATTTTATCAGTCAAAGTCTGTAGTTGAGGGCTGACAAGATTGCTCAGTGGGTAAGGGTACTTGCCTCCAAGCCCGATGGCCTGAGTTTGATCTCCAGGACCCCACATGATGAAAGGAGAGAATCAAATCCTACAAGCTGCCCTCTGACCTCTACATGTGGGCAGTGGCATAGTTCATGCATGCTCACACAGAAAGACAGACACAAACAATAAATATATTTAAGTCTGTAGGCGAGCTCACAGCCCTCTGAAACTCACTTTACAGACAGAGAAATTGACACAGAAGGTTGTCAAGCCTTGATTTCTAAGGTATGTTGCTTTTCATGGTGTAAACATCCTACCACATCTCATTCCAATCTACTTATGACTTCCCAACCAATTCACAGATTTCTTGAATATTTACCAATTGGCTCTTGCAAGCCACACAGGAGCCAGCTCTAGCACAGCTCTGTGGCAGGATAGGTCCAGTGACTTGTTCAGTGTCCGTTAATGACATGATCAAGGCTGGAACCAGGAGTTTGACTTCCGAATCTAAAATCTGGCCACCTGTGTCTGCCATGGTTAAAGGTAACGACCAACACTCACAAGGGAATCCTCTGACAACAAGGACTGCGGGAAGGTCTAGGTGGCCCCTAACACTAATGGAGCACTTCCACACTCTCTAGACAACCACGTGAACTCTTTACAATAACTATAAAATCTGACTTTCGTAGGGTTGTCTTAAATATTTAATGAAATGATTTGCATAAATTGATGGGTGGAGGGCAGGCTCCAATTAAGCACTTGCAGTAGCTACCCTCATTCCCCCTTTGCCACCCCTCCTATTCCTCACAAGGCAGCTGCATTGCTCGTACGTGGTGGAGTGGGATTCATGCCGGTCTGGTGGCAATCTCTTAACCACATTTGATGTTAGGTGAAAAGTGGAAACCGACCAACAAGTACAGACTCGGCACCGTGCAGAAGTGAATCTCGGTGTGGGCGACAGGAAAGCCTGTGAACTCTGAACGCGAGAGTCAGGCAAACCCAGGTTTGAAAGATTCGCCATCACCTATTAAGAACGGAGCAAATTACCTAACACTTGGCTTCAGTTCTCCCCTCTCCAACGCGGCTGTTTTAAGAGTGAAAAAACAGCAGAGAAGGCGTCAAAACACAAGAGTTCCTGGCCACAACACAAGCCACCCAAGGGTGTTAGGTGTTACTATGAACAAAATGGGCTAAGAGGATTCGAATTCTGGTTTCATCACTGTGGGTTCTTTGTCTCGTCAACTTGCCCCCAAGTGCGGCTCGGGCTGGTCCAGAGGGGCAGGCAAAGTGAATGCTCTCTGGTGTTACACAGGTACCTTTCCTGTGGTGTTGAGCCACCTCCGGGGCCCCACTTTTCGGCTCCTGGGCGCAGAGCTGCAGGCCCTACCGCCACGGGGCTGGGCGGCCCGGGGGATGCCCGAGGTCCAGGCGCGCCTCTCGCGGGCGCGCGGGGGCATCCTTCCCACCCAGGCCCGCAGAGGAGGCAGAGGGCTCCACCGAGGGGGGAAGCCGGCCCGGCATTCTGCTTTTGGAGTCCGGCTCCCCCTCCACCTCTAGAGTTTGGGGTTGTTTTGCATCTCCTTTTTCTCTCATACCATCACTAAAAAGAAAACTACTGCGGTTCCCCATTCCAGCCAAACTTCCTCCCCGGGAAAGCTCTGCGCTCCGGCGGGGCGCAAATCCGAGCAGGGGGGGAAAGCCGCCTGGCGGCCGGGGCTGCCGTCGGGGAGGTACCGCCGAGCCGCGCCCGAGCCCGAGCCAGGCAAGGATGCTCAGCGCGTAGCGCTGGCCGGGGCTCCTCGCTGTCCTTCCCCGCGCCCCGACGCCCCCGCAGCCCGCTTACCTGACGGCGGCCGCTTCCTGCTCAGTCGGCTCACAGCGCGGTTGAACATCTCCGCGAGTGCCGGAGGAGGAAGGAGGAGCAGCCCGGCGGCGCGGTGGCTGAGCCCGAGGAGAACTAGGAGGAGGAGGAGGAGGAGGGCCAGGGGGAGGAGCCCGCTCGGCACCGCCCCAGCCGGCCCCCGCCCGCCACCTCCTCTCCGCCCGGCGCCGCGTGGCGCGCTTCTAGCTCCTGGCTGCCCGCGCCCTTGGGGGACCGGGTCCCGCCCCGGGCTGCCAGGACAGGGCCGGGCACGGTGGCCCCGGGTGACCCTCGAGATGGGGTGCAGGCGTGCAGAGCTCATCCGAGACGCCGCCCGGCTGCTCGCCCACTCCCGCGTCCGTCCCGGTCCCTCCCCTTGCAAGCCCGGGAGAAGCTGGCCGGACGCTGCGGGCGCACGGCGCTTCGTGACCCTGCCAGGCGGGGGTCACCTCCCGGCTGGCCACCGGGAAGCCGAGGCCGTGCGCTTCTGCCAAGTCAGACCCCAGCGCGCCGGGGTCTGCGGGGCTCGGACTCTGTGGGCGCTGGGCCTGCCCACGCCGCGAATGCCCGGGAGGTGTCACCGGAGCTGGGGCCCGTGTGTTGCGCGGAGCCAGCCCAACCACCGCGAGTGGGCGCCCTCTCCGGGCCCGCCACGCCGCGCGGGCCAGGGAACTCAGACGCCCTCTGCCCGGCTTTGAGGCTCTGGGACAGACCTCGGAGAATTCGCAGGAACTTCTGGGGTTCCAGTGCGGACCAGAACGCTCGGGCACGTTTGCGACTTTGGGGACATCTGGGTGTTATCTCTGGCAGGTCCTTTGCATCCGACTATCCGCATCCCTCGGGTCCTCCAGCGCTCTGGGCTCATCTCTCCCCTCGTGGAGCCAGTCACCCGCTCAGCGCCGCTCTCCACGCTCGAGTAGTTTCCCATTTCTTCTACAAAACAACCCAAGAGGGGGATGTCATTAGCCCCATTTTCTTGAGCATTTGGTTTGCAAGGAATTGTCTTTCTGGCGAGTTTTATTTTTCTCCTTGTAGATGTGGCTTTGTCTAGAAATTGGTCTTTATTTTTAGCTGTAGTAATTGCTATTTTTCTAAACCATTCCCCAGCCCCCCCTCACCCCTCAGCCTTCTTTCTCAAGATTTGCACTAGCTGGCGCTTTCCTTTCTATTCTGAGCTTCCCGTTTTCTCCCTATTTGCCCACCCTGCAGTCCTAATGCCACCCCAGCTCTGGTCCATTTTGTGTGTGTGTGTGTGTGTGTGTGTGTGTGTTTTCCCCTCTCTCTCTTTTTCCGAGCTACATCATTTCCAAGCACCCTCCCCAAGCTACGGAGGAATCTGCGGCAGCTGGCAGGTGAGCGTTCACAGAACCTACCTTACAGCTCACCTTAATGACATGTTTCAGTCCGCTGTTGACCCACTCCAGGGATTAGCTTTCCCGCCTTGAAGTGGCGCTTGTGTCAGAGGCAAGCATTCTGTAAGGGTTAAACTTTTAAGTGCTGGCAGAGTTCTGGATCCCAATGAGACCTGCATTCTCAAAACCATAACACACTTTGCACCACCGTACAGGCACATCTCCCTAGAAACTTCCCCACCAGGCAGATCACAAATAACCCCAACAGAGGAAGCAAGGAGACTAGGAGTAGAAGTTAAGACACAGCCAGTCAATGCTATGCCGGGAGCGAGGTCTACCCCACCGTGTCCTCAACAAGCCTGGTGTGGCCTAGGGCTTGCTTATGAGGCCTGCCTGAGCTGAGAACCCAAGCTTCCTAAACACAGGGGGAAGCTAACAGCTTCAATCACTTTTCCCTCTTCTCTGACCTTATGGAACAGCACAAGAAGACCCAGGGTTAAGAGCTAATGTGCACAGTTTTATTTATTTATTTTGGTTTTGAGACTCATAAAATTGCAACCTATTTGAAGTGTCTAGAGATCGAAGCGCCAATTTTCACATGTACTGTGCAGAGAACCAAAAATAAGAGAATAAAGGCGTGAAGCTCCCAAAGTATGCTGAACACAACACACTGGCATGGTTCTGCCAGCCCTCTGCAGCTGAAGATGATCACCCCCGGGGGCATCACTGTCCTGGTCCCCTACTGGCTTGCTCATCTCAATCTGGCCTTCAAAAGAAATGATGGCAGCCAACTGGGCAAGAAGGTGTGCAAGTTGGGCCCCTTTCTCCCCTTGACTGGCCTCACCTTTGGTTCAGAGACCAACCTTCAAATCAAGCAGGAAACAGCAGCCCTGGAGGTCTTGCAGTAACAGAATTTCAGAGGGGTGAGTTTTACAGGTCAGTGTGATTTATTCTGCTCGGAAGCTTTAAAACTTTGGTAAAGGTGGATGAGCTGGCTCAGTAGGTAAAGGCCTTTGCCTCCAAGCCTGTTGATCTGAGTTTGTTCCCCAGCACCCACATGGTAGAAGGAGGGAACCAACTCACACTAAATTAATTGATTGATTAATTAATTCATTAAAGTAAAACTTTGGTAAGACTGGCTGGAGAATTAGCTTAGTTGGTAAAGTGCTTTTGTGGCAAGCCATGGGTTTGATCTCCGGCACTGAAAAAATAAATAAAAACAGGGCATGGTGGTACACACTTTCAATACCATCACTCAGGACAGGAAGCAGAAGGATCAGAAATTTAAGGTCATCACTGAATAGTGAGTTCAAAGCCAGCCTGGGCTACCTGAAACCCTTTCTCAAAAAAGAAAAGACTGAGTTGTGAATATATTTTAGAGTTTCTGTCTTATGATATGTATATATATGTAAAATCTACTGTAGGCCCTTTGAGGGCAAACTAAGTAAGTAGATCAATGCTAGACTCCCAAGTCAAGAGACCTGGGTATCTGTCCTGACCATGCAGCTTCCCAGCCCTGTGTCCTCAGCATGTCACAGCCTCGTGGGATAGGATGGCACCTAGATTCTGAGAGTGTGGTGAGCAGCAGAAATAAACAAAAAAAGCACCTGGCATGTTGCCCAGCGCATGTAGGCGCACACAAAAATTACTGGAATCTAAATTACTCTTACTCCTCCTGCAAGCTGTTTCCATAAATAATAAACTTTAACCTACACACAGTCAAAAATGGTTCAGGGGTATTTGTTTTGTTTATTTGTGGTACTAGGGATCAACCCCAGGGCCTTGCACATGGCAGACAAACACTGTACCACTGTGACACCCCCCCCCATAGCCCTGGAATTTTTTTTTATTATTATAGAAAGTTGGCAGGGTAGTAGTAGTGTGATGCTTACAAGGTGTGAAAGCTCACACAGTATAATTACTAATAGTGATGCTTACAAGGTGAAAGGCTAGAAATAAGTCATTAGAACCTCTCAGAAGGTCAGAGAGGTAGACACAGTAAGATGCCTATTTAGTATTATGTATAGTCTTCGGAGTATTTACACCCATGGGACTAGTGAATAATTCATCAACTGGTCATTTCTGGAAGGAAAAAAAAAAGCAATGCAAAGATTCGTGTGTTCCATGGCACTGATTTTTTTTTTTTTGGAAGGGGGTATTTATAGTAGCTAAAAAATGCCCACTCAGAGAACAAGATTATAACACAGTCCTGTGAGGGACTACTTAACAGTTGTAAAAGACCATATGATAGTTGGAGATGTGGCTCAGTTGGCAGAGTGCTTGTCCAGCAGGCATGAAGCCCTGTCTTCATCCCAAGCATGAGCTGGGTGTGGTGGTACCTGACTGTAATCCCAGCACTCGGCAGGTGGAAGCAGGATGAAACTCAAGAGACTCAGAAACTCAAGATCACAGTGACTGTATAGTGAATTTGAGACCAGCCTGGACTACATGAGACCCTGACTCAAAAAAACGACCACTACCACCACCAACAACAAAAAAGACCATGTTCAAGCCCATTTGGTGTTGTGTGAGCATACTTACACAAAACTTTCATGGATAGGAAAAACCGGGATACATATATATTTATTTAGACAAAGCTAGCAGTTAACCACACCGAAATATTACTAGAATTTATCTCTGAGTGATAGGCTATTGGGTGATTTAAATTTCATTATTATATATTCATGTTTTAAAGATTTCGTTTTATTTTATTTTATTTTTGGTCTTTTTGAGACAGGGTCTCCCAGTAGCCCCAGCTGGCCTGGAACTCACTATGTAGACCAGGCTGGCCTTGAACTCAGAGATCCACCTGCCTCTGCCTCCCGAGTGCTGGGATTAAAGGCGTGCACCACCAGGCCCGGCTTTATTTATTATTTTTATTTTATGTATATGAGTGTATTGCCTGCATGTGTGTAAGTGCACTTGTGTCCTGTGGTGTCCGTGGCAGTCAGAAGAGGTGTCGGATTTCCCTGGAAATGAAGTTATAGACAGTTGTTAGCTGTCAATGTGGGTTCTGGGAATTGAACCTAGGTCTTTTTCAAGAGCAGCCAGTGTGCTTAACCACTGAGCCATCTCTCAGCCCCTATATTCATGTTTTGCAAAATGGCTGTAGTGTACACACTTTTTTTTTTAATGTGTACGCATGTATTGCCTGCATGTAGGTAAGTGCACCTGTGTCGTGCAATGCCTGTGGAGGACAGAAGAGGCTGTCAGAAACCCTGGAACTGGAGCTACCAACAGTTGTTAGCTGCCATGTGGGTGCTGGGATTCAAACTCGGGTCTTCTGCAAGAACAGTCAGTGTTCTTAACCTCTGAGCCATCTCTCCAGCCCCAGTGTACACACTTTTAAACCAGAAGGAGGGAGAACAGTAATGGGAAACTGGCTGAAATCTTCATCTGGGTTTTATGATACAAATATGTGTTTGTTTTATAAAGCTTTAATTTTTAGTGAGTATACAAAATCATGGATTTCATATGACATCTTCATTCATGTACACCATGCCTTGCTCATGCTCCCGTCACTGTACTCCCTGCACCCCATGCCCCAGGTCATCATTTTTACAGCATTAGTTTGGCTTTCTTAGAGCTCTCAATTTCCCATGGAAAGAGAGGCAGCTGGGGTCTGCCAGCTTTGATCTTTCTTGCACTTCAGGCCACATGTTCCTGGAATGTCACAGTTCAGATGTCTTGGGGGTCAGCATCTTGGGCTGCAGAATAGGAAGCCAAGGGCCAGGCAGCAACTGGACCCGGTTTG